GGGGCGGGGAGCGCCCCGCCCGTCCCCGCCCCGCCCCCCGCCGCGCCCAGCGCTCCCTGCCGGCGGGGCCGCCCCGGGGCTCCGCCGCAGGCAAACGGCCGCATCCCCTGCGGGGCTGGGGCTGGAGGATCGGGCCTTTCTTCCCTTCCCCGGGGGCCGCCTGAGGGGCGGGGGGCGGGCAGGGCGCGGGGGCCGGGTGGAGGGAAGGCGGCCGTGGCAAGCCCGGTCCGGCTGATGCTGGCTCCGTCCCCCGCAGCAGGCTCAGCCCGGGCTCCGGCAGGCTGGTGGCGGCGAGCGGGACTCAGGGGGGCCCCTCCGGGCACCTTTCCCCTTCCCTCCCTCCGCGGCGGGTGGCGCTGGAGGATTTTCTCCCGCTGCGGCCCCCTCGCTGCCCCTCAGACATGGTAGGTCACCTACAGCTGCAAGGGATGGACGAGAGCCTGAAGGAGAAGAGCCGGGAAGGCTTGCTGGACAGCCCGGACTCGGGGCTGCCCCCCAGCCCCAGTCCCCCTTTCTACTCTCTCTCACCTGGCGAGGGCCGAGCTGGGGGCAGCGGCGCTGCGGACCCCCCGGCCCCGGGGCACCGGCGAGAGGCCAAGGACGGCAAAGTGGTAAGAGCCAAGTTGGGCACTGGGCTCTGTCCTCTCCGGCCCCGGGAGGGAGAAGGGCTGGCCAAGCCCCGGCACAGGGGTCAGCGAGGAAAGGACCTGTGCCCGCTGACTGTGGCACCCCTGGGATGTGTCCCCCCTCAGTGCCTGGCCACCCACACTGGTGGATGAGGGGTCTCCCGGGCTCCTTGTGCCCTGTGGTGGCCACAGTCCGGTGTTGGCACCATCACTGGTGTGCCCAGGCAGGGGCTTGGCCCGGTGCTGGCCAGGGGTTTTTGGATACGTTCACAGAAGTGTTGGCAGTTTGGCTGGGTAAAGTCTAATAATTGAAAGTGAAACCCAGGTCTGAAAAGGCTCCCTTACCTACCTTAAGAACAGAGAAGTGGAATTGCTTCTTGGTGACACTGTCCTGCCTGGTAGTGACAGGTTGGAGCTGTGTCCCTCTGGACCAGGGCGGGAGAGTCCGGCTCCCAGTTGTCCCTACGCTCCAGCATCCCACGATTTATTTTGTCAGGAGCGTGGAACCACATCTGCTGAAAGAAAGACAAAACGAACTGTTAAGTTGGGGCAGGGTCCGGGTGTCTGTTGGGGAAGTTGTGTGGAGACGCGGTCTGGGGAGGGTTGTGTGCTGCTGCCCTTTGCTGGAGCAGGGTTTTGTGGCATGGAAGGTTTCTGTGCTGCATGGTTGAGCGGGGCAGGGTTGGTGGCTTGTAAGCCCAGACGGCTGGCAGCAGCTCTATAGATTTTGGTTAGCCTGACACAGTGCCAGTGAAGCGGTTGACTGTGGAGTAGGATTTGGATAGATTTATTTTGACTGTTATTCTGCTTTATTTGTTTATTTCTATCCCTTAGCTATAAAAACTCTTTTTAAAACACAAAGTTCAGAGCATAAGCAATAGCAGTGGAGGTTTTTAAAGGATGATGAAAGTTCTTCCCCAGGGATCTTTCAATTTTTTTTAAAAAACATATATAAAAGACAGTTGTAGGTGTATTCAACACAGTTAATTGTCTCCTAGATGGAATAAAAACTGCAGCACAAATCTTTCCATGGGAAAAAAATTATCTACCTGTGGATTAGTGACAATTCAAAGACTTCTTCCCGGTAGAGACATTTTGCAATGACTTCTTACACCCTCATTTACTTTCTCAAGTTCTAAGGCAATTTTAGCATATTATTGAAAACTGCCTTTTACTCCCAAACATGCCAAAACCTTCCCCATGAACAATGACTCCTTCTCACCAGACTCTGGTGGATAGGGTGTGAGGTGTTAATTATGAAAGTCAAATTGCAAAGCTGCTAACGCTGCAGTTCCAAATATGGAGCCTTACCTGCAGATGCCTGGGCGTGCAGATGCCATCTTGATGGGACTGTTTATGTACAAAGAGTTACCCACACACCTCTGATTTGGCAGGATCAGGTTGTTGCTATGTATTTGTAAAATGAAATGTGGGAGGAAGATGAATGAAAGCTTGCTGGACCAGAAAACAGCTGGGGTGGAGGTGTCTGCAAGCTCTGTAATGGGGACATGACAGCCTCCATTCCAGTAATGACAGTTTGCCACCTCTGCTCCCAAGAAAGTCCCTAGATATCGAAGATGAAAGGGAAGAAGAAGAATCTATTTCAGCTCTTGAAGTCTTAGAACTGAGAGTTTTTGTGCTTGACTCCTTTGGAAAAAAAGTTATTCTTGCCATCTGTATAAGGCAAAATTAAGTTTTCCAGTTATTTTTTAATTTTGATCATAAATGAACATTTTATGCATTTCAGCGGAACTCACAGTCTAGGTGTTTCCAAATTTTGTATCACATTGCAACAGCACGGGTAGCCCCTGGCTCCTGCTGTTAAGAGTATGGGTTTCATACATTCTGGGTATTTCCGGCCCTTAGTAGGTACAGGAGGTTGCAGAAATACCAACTCTGAAACCAATTTGGCTATATTATTTGGAGTACAGGGCTGTGCTCTTTAGCTCTGAGTGTTTGGTACACTGCAAAATAATGAAGTAAATAGGAACTTTCACTGTATTTAACTGTACAAAGAGTTTCACTTCTCGTTTCACCCTGCAAATACTGTACTTGCAGCTGTTATTAAGAAAGCAGGAAGAATATGGAGAGCATTACTTCCTTCATACATCTAAATTTCAGTGTCTAATTAGCTTTAATCTTGCCATTTAACAAGGACTTGCAGATCTATGAACAATTACCCAACCCATGAATGTGCTTCTGTTTAACTCTACTACTCTGCTGTTCATCAGAGCATGCAGAATTGGCAAATCAATAATTGCAGCTATTTGCACACCAAGGCATGCTTTTTTTTAATCGCTTGTTATATTAGTGTTTGTTTTGCTTATAAACGTGACAGCGCCAGGAATGCAGCCTGTAGTCTTTGTGTTATACTATAAAACTGTATATAAGCTCAGTCAGTAATGGCCAAAATTCTAGTACGTACAGTTGCAATAAATTGCTGTCAGGTGAAGAAAACAACATTCCAGATCTGTGGGAAGTATTTCATGCTATTCCTTGCTGTGGACCTATCAAAACCACCAGTGTGAACCCAGTTGCGTTCTTTTGCAGTCAGCTATTTTGCTCCAGCTTCACAAATACATTAAAGAATTTTTCTGCTCTAGGACAGCTCTTCTTATACAGACTAAACTGAGATTGTATGCCCTTATCGAAGACTTTCTTGTGTGTAAAATCTGTGCTCCCTCTGCTTTGTGTTATTAACTGTGACTCTGAAAAAGTAAACTCTCTTCTCTTTAATAAGCATGACTTTGTTTCAAAGACAATGCACCATTTATTCACATTTAACCAGCCAATTTGGCTACAGCTTTGGGATCCAAGAAAATATGAAAGGCAATTTAGGGCCAGAGTCATAAATACCACAAGTTCAACACCATTTAGGGACTTTTTTTTTTTTTTGTATTTTACTTGCAGTGCAGGAGAAATTGACTTTTATTTGTTCAAATAAAGTCCATGTAGGGAATTTGTCAATTGTTTTGTGCTTAAGTGCAAATATCCTACTGAAGGTAGAAGGTGACTTCTACCTAATTCTGCCATTTAAATCTGAAACATGATTAAATTGATTCTTAGGACTTGGGTTACTGAATTCTCTAGGTTTTGCATGTAATGCTGGGCCATTACATATGGAACATAAATACAATGAAATAGATCTCTAATGATATGCACAAAGAAGCAGTTGTTGGAAGAGTGGAGAATGAAATGACATCAAGGTAGCCAGATCTGCTTAGATTTTTCCCTGTTGTTGTTGCCCTGGGATGTAGTTTTAGGCTAGAAAAACTGCTTTTGGGCTGTGCTGAAATAAGTTCTTTGCATTCAGTAGCATAACTGCTAATGGATATCAGGGGAGAACAGGATCACATCCATCTGAAGAACTATCAGTCATGCCTTCTTGAAGCAGCAGGCTTCCTGTCCCTTCCCAACACTGCTGCCAGTGCAACAAGCTCCTTTTTATTTGAGACAATACTTAAGACACAAAGACTTAAGTATTTGTGCATTCAGCCTGCCTCACTGAGCACTGACTTATGTAGGACTGTATCACAGTGGATCAGCTGTCAGATGAATGCCCCCACATAGGGAATTTCTACTTACATTCAGGAGCTGTGTTGGACAACAGTGCAGTGCCAGAATCAGTCTCATGTGGTGGGAGGAGATTCCATCTTCATCTGAAGTGCAGAGGAGGAGGATACCTTGCCCCTTGGCACAGCCTTCACAGGCACGGTCCCACCAAAGCGGTCTAAGTCAGCATGTGTCGCAGCCCTGTTGGATTTATGGCTGATATTTAATAAAAAACCAGAAAAAAAACCCGAAACACCTCTTAGTGACATGCTGCATTTTGAAGAGCCATTGGGCAACAGAGCCAGCATCTCATCCTAGACTGAAAGTGCTCCAGGACTTTGTGGGGAACTGGGTGGGGAACATGGCCATCCAAGGGTTTCCAGGCAATATGTCACTTGCAAACCTGCCAACACCTACAGTGAAAGCCCATGTGAGAGAAAGGCCCTGCACCCCCACCATAAGCCAGCCTGCACACAGAGCAGGTGATGTGTCTCTCCCAGCCCACGTGGGTCCCAGCAGCTCTGGGGAAAGCCCCAGGCCTGAGCGGGGAGCGAGGCACCCATCTGGCACAGCAGCAGGGCTTGCCTCCGGGCTTGGCATTTGCATCCTGGCATCCTGACCTGCTTCTGAACTGCTCCCAAGGGGTAGGATCCTGCAGGAATTCCCCCGGCAGGGCTTGGAGCTGGTTTCAGTTTCACGCCTGCATCCACTGCCTGGCAAAGGCCAGCCCCACCTAGCTGTCCCCTGTCCCTCAGCCCCATCCAGTTCTCAACACACACCTGCTCCTCTTCCTCCTTGCTTCAACGACAGCAGCGAAGGAGGGGGAATGGCTCTGGTCCCCACCTAATCTGCAAACCGTGACAGATGTCCCTTCTGGGCAGGTCAGGGAAACAGTCACAGCGGTCTCACCGTCTGCTGTGAAAAATGTGGCTGTATCTAGGGGTGGTGTCTTCCAGCTGTTTAATTTCCGTCGTGTCCCCGTGTGACGCTGTGGACAATAACAAAAGCAGCGCACATTTCCCACTTGAAATAGAAGAGGGAGACAGGCAGGAAGGATGTAATTCTTTGAAATAATAAAGCCCTGCTTTATACCTGAGGTCTGCATTTACTGTTATCACCTTCAAATAAAATCTCATCCGGCTCTAGTATAAATTACTCGTAATGTGCAATACGTGAAGATATTGGGAAAATAAATGGTCTGTTAAACAAATACTGCTTATCAGCTAGAGCGGAGAATGTAGATGTGTGTCAAATAACTCAGCCAGATCTTTCATTATAGCTGTAAATAACAGCTGAGTAAAGTGACATTTTCATGGACCTGACATGTTACCATAGTGGGAAAGTGTGGTGAGAGATTTGCTTGTGCCCTAGCTAAGCTAGGAGCTGGGAATTTGGGAAGCTGTATCCTGTTTGTAGCCCTCACGCTTGGAAAG